CACAAAATTATTACTGACTGATCAAACCCTAAATGAGAATTATTGTAATTAATTAAGATGGATCAGCAAAATTCAGTGAATTACATTAAGATTTTTGTCAGTGGTCAGTTTAAAGTGGACATTTTTCCATTATATGACATGTTTACATTCTGATCCAGTTTGTTTATATGGTACAGTATAAGCATTTTCTCTAATTATGAATTTGTATGTGTTTCATTTTACACAGTATGATTCAGTCTAACGGATCTATCTATTTCGTTGTTTATTTTTCAGCATGAAAACAACATCATCCATCGTGACCTGAAAGCAGAAAATATTTTTTACACCACTTGCTACTGCATCAAAGTGGGTGACTTCGGTTTCAGTGTCGTCAGTGAGCCGACCGAAACTCTGAACACGTTTTGCGGCTCCCCGCCGTATGCGGCACCTGAGCTGTTCAGAGACAAAAGCTACGTGGGCCGTTATGTGGACATCTGGGCTCTGGGTGTCCTACTCTACTTTATGGTGACCGCCATCATGCCTTTCTACGGCGACAACTTAGGCCGACTGAAACGCTGCATCCTGCAGGGGGCGTACAGCATCCCGCCCTACGTCCCTGAGTCCTGCCAACTGGCCATCAAAGGCATGCTGAGACCCGTACCTGTGGACCGGACCACGGTGTCGCAGCTGATGCTATGCTCCTGGCTGAAGGGCATCGAATACCCCAAACCCTATCCTGCTTTCAATACGACGCCCAATTACCTAGCTGACCCAGCGAAGAGCCTGTGCGTGGAGGAACAGGAAGTGAAGTCAGCCCTGAGCGAGCTGGGCATCAGTGGCACACATCTGCAGAATAAAACCTGCACTGACTGCCGCAGCCCAATAACAGGAACTTATCGTATCCTGCTGCACCGCATCCAGAAGAGGAGATCCGTGGAAGCGGTAGGATATTCCGCCCTGTACCCAGAGGATTTTGGTACCAAGAAATACTGGACCAACAACGCAATGGCTAAGCACAATCCTTCGGCAGTGTGTAACATCCTATGAAGACAAGTGTTGAATGATTCATGGGTGGATAATGTGTTTGATGCCATGTTTCAGGAAGTAATTAATTTACATGTATGAAGTTGTGCTGTTTTTTGTTGTTGTTGTGAAACCCAGCATCCCAGAATCAATGCCAAGATGAGTATTTTACTTTCTATAATATTTTTGTAATATACAAAGTTAGAAGGTTCCCTTATTAGTGTTTTGGTGCTTATCTGCTGCTGAATATCAAG